CATCCTCGAATGCCTCCTTAATTTATGTGATACCAAAAAGTAAATACGTATCTATGCATCTTTTTCCTGAAACTTGCAGGATGTCTCGCCCAATTTGTACAGTTGAGAATCAAGGCAAGTATTTTTCCAAGTCGTAGACTTAGTGCGGGGTTAACCCTGGAAAATGGGGATTCCCACGAACATAGGTGAGGGGTTGAAAATCGAATGAAAAATCCATTTACCCGGCGTCGCATTTCCCTGTTCCCATTTGTTTTTGGATAAATGTGGCAATTTTTTCCTCATATTTCAGAACAAAAAGGCGCAAAATTACAAAACAAATTACAAAATACAAAATAAGAGGCATATTTCTCACTTTTATGATGTTTACTGGCCACGCCCCCTCACCCACTGTTTTTTTTTTTGTGACCTTTCACCCCTATTACAGCCAGCAGGACATCGCGTTTTATTCACCATTTTGCCTTTCTATATTTTTTTTTAATTTTGAATTTCGAATGGAAATTTACATAATTTATGGGCAGCAACAAAAGTCACACACAGATACGGATCCGAAATGCGGGGTTTTCAAAGTGGGGTGGCGATCTGAAGCATATGCCGGAATGAAGTTTTTTTCATTAAAAATTTGTTTATAATTTACGATTTTTTAAGACGCGCAACTGAGCAAATGTGACGCAAATTATTTTTGGTTCCACTCTTTTGGATGTTTTTTTGCTCCTTGATTTGGTCCGGTTGCCTCATTAAGAGCTCATTAAAAAGATTGCGCCAGTTTTTCTTGAGCATTTTAACACGTTTTTAATTTTAATGCATTTTATGGCCGCTTAACAAAGTCCTCCGTCACAGTTCAAATCATCATCATCGTGAGGGGCATCATCATTGGATTTTACCGCGGGCTGACTTTCACTTGTTGACTGCGAATTCTGCACTCCTGCCCCTGAAAATCCTCCTGAAATCCTCGTCAACGTCACCGCACATCAGCACGTCAAACTTCATTAGGAAAACGGAAAAGTGGTGAGGATGGTTTTTCCGACAGGGTGGCTCTCCCCGCTTTTCACTGCGGTGCCTTCATTGTTTTTATGGGCTGCGCTAATTAGTTACGAAGTCATAGAATTTTACAGGAATTGCTCTCGACGATTGTCATGCTGTTGTCATCCCCTTTCCTTGGATTTTCCCTCACTTGATGCAGTCATCATTTGTGGTTTTCCCTGGAAGTGGGTTTCAATTCTCAAAAGGAGCAGTAAGTTTCAACCAGCAATTTGTTTAAAATATCATTCAAATGTACGCGGTTTTGTAAAACCTTAAAATATATTGCTTATTACATTTTGATTTCATCAGACCAAAGATTAATAGAACTAGCATTTTTTATAACTTTTGGTAAACATTTAAGTTAGTTATAAAATATCCTGAAAATTTAAGCATAGGTTTTGCTATTTTAATAGGAATTTTTCCTTATTAAAATTCCCATTTATATTTATTTTCTTTAGAAGAACTCAGATTTAAATACGAAAAACACATGCCTACCTGAAATTTGTGTGAAATCTCACCACAAATTAATCAGAAACCAAAACCAGACTGACCACTTGACCAACGTATAAGTCAGAGCCAGACAAATCCCAACTAAGTAGAAACCAAGACCGGAGCCAATTACAAGAAAACCCATTTGACAAAGTGAAAGTCCAGGACTTTCAGGAATAAGACGTTGGCAGGTCCATAAATTTGCGGGCACAGGGACATAATTATGCAGACAGGCGGTTTACAAAGGGTTAAGGAATGGTTTGGGGAGCTCCACAGGCTTGTAAATTAAAAATACCACGCCCCGCCGTGATAAATCAAAGTCAGTGGGCTTTGTATTGGATTTGCCGAAAGGAATTTGTAGACATTAAGAAAGTCCAACTCGGAATTCTTCGCCAAGCCCTTCCTGTTGCTTCCTGGCATTTGAATAAAGTTGGACCTTGTTTGGGAAAAGTGTCGCTGACATGTTAAGACTTCTCGCAGATTTATGGTCCCAGTCTAAAAATCCCTTGGTGAGGGTGGAAACTCCTTGTTCAGGGCCAATTTAAAAATTGAATTTCAAAACTTACCACTTGGTTCCCTGCTAATCATGTTTCGAATTGGCCAACACATGTGTGTGCGGTTCTTAGATCTCTCTTATCGATGCGAAAATTTTGACACATGCCACATCACACTGGATTTTCCATTGTCTCCGGGTTTTTCCTGAGGGGCCTAATGCGATTATTTGCTGTGTTTTTGCCCCAAAAATCGGTCGTGGGCAGGCCATTTGCCAGCAGCTCTGATTAAATTGGATTGCAGATGCTCATAACTGTCACACATGGCACAGGACCTTCTCCGGCCTTTTTATCTCTGGTGTGTCAACACCGAACCACCCAAAAAACTAGGAACAAAAAACCTGAAAACAAGCAGATAAAAGGGGAATGAGGAATGGAAAGTTCTCCGAATAGTCTGAGATTTTGAATACCCTTCGAAGTTTGGGAGCGAAAATGTTAAAATGGGATTATTTGGTTTGTTATAGTGGAATTTTTCAGTTAAAACATACTTTTTCCTTACCAGAAGGACGAGAGTGGATTAATAGGGTGTTCTAAGGATATTTAGTGCATCTTGTTATGAGTTTTTAATAAGCCAAACATAACAAAACAGACCTATTTATTAGTTTTCTAAAATGCTCTCCCCTTATTGTCCTAATGTCATCTGAAAACTATTATCCCCTTTAAACAGAGTAGAACACAACCAATTCAGGACAGTTTTTCAATAAACCCATCAGAAGGTACTAGTGCTGACGCTTTGAACCCTCACCCATGTGCGTAACCCCGCCCAAAATTTCTCCAACCGATGCCCTCTAGCCAAACTCATTGTAAACGCAATTTGATTTATGGACAAGTTGAAAATTTAAAATTGTCGCATGGTCACTTTAATTTGAGAGTTATGCGACTTTAAACTAAGTTATTTGGGGGATGTCCCTTGCTGATGATGCGGCAGGAAGTGAATTATGTCATGGCTCATTGTGAGGTTATGTAGCGATGACACGAGTACAGTCCCGCCCCCAGAAAACTATGGTTCAATAAGGACAACTGTACTTGAGCATGGTTGCGTGTGAAAACAGGATGTGGCACGCGTCGCTTGTTAACCGCTCGCTGTTGCAAGTTAAAGAGCAATTTCGAATGGGACAGGGGTGACCAGTCACCCTCTTTGTCTTATTTTTTAGGGGTTGGGGCTTATATTTGATGTTTCCTATTCAGTGTTTACTGTTAGCTGCTGAAGTGCCTCAATGGTTTAGTGTCAGCTTATAGTTTTGACATTTGTAGCCGGTCTAAAGCTGATTGCAGATGAGTATCGGAAGTGAAAGTCCTGGCCAAGAGTATGATGGATGTCCTGGGACTTACTGCGATTTGCTGAAGTGTGAAATATGTCATTGAGTAGCCTTTAGTTACTTTGTATTAACAAATTGGACACTTTTGAGTCTTAAAAACAAAATAAAACATAAAACCAGTTTCAAGTAAATCAAGTTTTTAAGACGAATCCAATCGGTTTTTGATTAATATCCATTTTTAAACTGAAATCCTTTTTAATAAAATTGAAGACTATTATGGGCAAAGGGTTCATATCACAGAAAGTGATGGATGTCCAGTTTGTATCTCCCAACCGATGAAGTGTTAAATCTACCACGAGTGTCAACTATTCACTCCACTGAAATTCCTCGGGGGCATTTTAACCCTTTTGTCCATTCATCTGGGGGTGCTTGATAAAGTTTCACTTATTCGCCAATTATTGGAAATATTTTCGAGTTTTAATTGAAAAACTGGTGGCTCTGTACCCCGATTTTCTGGACCACTTTCATGCATGCCTGCATCTGCTGCTGTTCACAATTAAAATTGCCTCCCACCGAATAACTTTTCATGGTTATCACTTGGCCCCTGTGGGGGATTTTATTTTTCATGGCTTTTCAATTTTAATTGAAATTTATGCGCCAGAACTCAAAGGATTCAGTTCGCACTACCCCCTGCCATATTTTTACGGCCACGTGCTAGCAAAAAAAAAAAAGACACAGAGTGTTGCAAATTGTTGAAAATTTCAAAATTTACATGGACAATTCGCCGGGAGCAAAGCGAAACATAAAGGGGTGATGAGGCGGAGTCCCGTGATTTACAGCCCGCAGTTTCGTAATTTATGAGCCCACAGCACTTGAAAAACAAAGCCAAAAAGCAAACCGAACTGAAACAAACAAAAATCCGAAACACGGAAAGTGCATGCAAAACATTTTGTGGCGCCATTTTTATTGTCCTTCGGCTTGTTCATGTGTAAAATTTGAAATTGTTGTAAATAATTACCCAAATGGCTGCCGCCGCCCCATCTTTGTAATGTCCTTACCCCCCCGGAAAATTCAAGGACCTCGCAGTTAATTTGGAATCCCCGGCATCGTCGCCATTTGTAATTAAGCCTAAACCGTTAATATTTCAGCCAGATAAGAGCAACTGCATCCCCATCTCCATGCCAAAAATGCCCATAAATTCACAGCCAAAACTTGGTCCTTCCGTACAGGATCAAGTCCAAATTGTTGGGGAAACATTTTACGGTTCGGGTGTTAATTTCCAGGCAGATTTTTTCTTATCTCAGCCTAGTGAAAGTGAAAATTCCCCCGGCATTTGTGGGGCCCACTTGTTTTTCTTGCCTGCATTGGCAAGAATTTAATTAGCATACCGAATCGTTAACAAGATTGGAAAGCCAGTGAGTTATGCAAAAGTTTCGCATGTAAATAACAGGGTGAGAAGGGTTGATCCTTTTGGAACAAGGTAATTTTATAATTTAGACATAAGAAAAGCTGGATGCAAATAAAGACACCTAAAATCACATTCTACGTTATCAAAGTACAAATATTTCTTAATTTAAAGCTTTGGTTGCTGTTTTGTTTTCGGTGAATTGATCGATTTGTAAAAAAACACAATAAGCCAATTAAATATATACATTTGTATTGATAATTAAAACCACAATGATTATGTTAAATATGTTTGAACATCGTTTAATAAGTAAGCTTAAGTGTTTTTAAGGGAACATATAATGGTGGGACGCATAACTAAAATAATGTAACTAAGCTAACATTTATTTTAAGTTTTAAAACAGCAACTACACTAAAGTTGGTTTAATTGAGTCCAAAACTATCCAATGTGGATGTCTGAAAATAGAAAGAAACAAATAATTATTGTTAGTTTAAAATTCTACTTGTATACAGAACTCCAATTTAATACTTACTATTATGGTGAATATGTATGTTGATCTTTGGAAGTTTCGGTAACTGGAATCTCGGTTTTCGTTTTGGTGCCGCATAAGCATTTTGCGAACAGATGAACAGCAGCACAGTGATTAGCAGCCAATAGAACTTAAAGTATTTCATTCTGATAATACTATAATCCGATGGTATTGTTGTTGAGCTGAGGGTTTAATTAAGACTGAAGCTTAAGCGGGGATGGCACTTAAATAAGTTGATTCATTTTGACGAAATACAACGAAGTCCCGACGATCGTGCGTCTCTTATCAGCTTGGATTTTACCAGAGTGTTCGTCGAATCGAAAAGTGAACCCCCGGCAGCTCTATGAAAAACCCAAAACAGCTGAACCGGCGTTGCTATGATCATTCATATGTCTTTATTTACTATATGCCATAATTAATCTTTAGTGATGTCGAGGAAATATGACAACGTGCAATGCTAAAATTTCAAATACAAATACCATTTAAGAAGAGTAAATGAGTGGACTACATATACATATAATAAAAACATCTTGTTATGTTGGTTGTATATATATGTTTATTTTATAAGGTCTGTGGTAAAGCAGGCAAACTGAAAATATTTCACAGTATTTTTGTAGGTGTTGTTTTTATTCTTGAAACTGTTATATGTATTTTTATTATAAGCCACCTGAAATTAATTGAATATGTTGTCTTGAAAATGTTGAACTCACCTATGGATTGGATTCTATCAACGGGCGTGTTTTCATCAATAAAATGGAAAGTAAAATATGGAAAGGCCTTAACTCATTGTCACCCCAAACACTCCATAACTATACGAACATAAACATGCATAAATTGCATTATAAGCGACCCAAACAAAGCATTACAATCGGATCCCCTCGAAGCAGCCATAACTATTCATTATCGACGCATAAACGACCCTTTGAGCACTCATAACTTCAAATTTTTATTAAATAAACAGAACAAAGCAATGGCCGGAAAAATGTCACACACTATATGGCGAAGGAAGGGATGTGCCACATCCTTCTGACCCACTAAATTGGATCTGCGAATTGCGAGAGAACCCTTTCCCTTTCCCTTCACATCCCCTTCCCATCCTGCGTAATTCAATATTTGACTAGATGAGATTTATGGCCACAGGGCGTAGAGACTTCCTGCGAGGCATCCTTTCGCTATATTTGTGCAAAGTATAATTTTTGATTTAGTGCGATTTGTGTCAACGGGTTGTGCAGCCCAATAGTTTCGCAATATCGCATAAGTGAAAGTTTTGCGGGGTTTTGTTTGCCTTTCCAGCGGATATGAGACCGCATGCTGATTGTCAATCTGGAAGTGAAGGGTGGATGGAGGTGGAGGTGGAGGTGGCCAAAGTCTACCCTCTTTTCAAGTCGGAAACGGATGTTCTGCCAACGGAATTCGCATAAAACTTTACTATTATGTTCAATATTTTGGCGAAAATTGAATCGCGTGGCTGCCAGCAAATTGCTTTGTTCGCCAAATCGCGAGGGAATCGGAGGATCTACGAGGGTGACTATGGCAGGTACAGGATTCACGATTCAGGATGCAGGATGATAAGGCTGAATGGCACCAGGGCAATTTGCCGCCAGAATTTGCATAGCTAGACGACGAAAAAAGGGTTGATTTGCACGGCCGGAAAAGCGCGACAAGCGAATTTATTACAGGTTGCATTAGATTTAATTAGCGAAAGGAGCGTGCGCGGAAAAGTTAATATTCCCAGTACCCAAAGGATATATCCTGTATAGCCTGATTTCAACGAAACATATTTCTCCCATCATCATATTTGGTGGATGTTATGTAACCATAAAGTTCCAAACATTTTTAAAAGATTTTTAATGATATGCAACGCTCTGAAAAGAGATATGATTGTATACAATATTCGCTTTTAAGGGAGAAACGTGGGTATATTCAATAATAAAATTTTGACACAACCAGAAATCAAATATTGGTTAATGTTAATTCCCATTTCAGAAAATGTACAATTTATCTTTTTGGAAAATAGAACCACTGTTCTATTAATTCTAAACCATAAGAGTCTAGTTGTCAACTTTTAATGAAGGTTATCTTCATAAAACTAAAATCCTTAAATGTTACCAGTGTTATTGTACCACATGCTGTTGGCCAAGCCATTGTAATCCTTTAGTGGAACCAGTGTTATGGTATTTTGGTGTTTTGACATAAATTCTCTCTAAAACTTCGAATCCTTTGGTGTAACCAGTGTTACTGTTTTTTATGCTGTAAGCAAAATCATTGTAAAATAGTGAGTGGTCTTGGTTAAAAGAATCAATATTGAAGTTGGTGGAAGTGGAAGTTGAAAGAGTCCTGTTTAAATGTATACTCATTAAAAACTCTAAATACCTCTTTTCCTCGAGATCTCCCTAAAAGTTTACCGATCTATGTTGAACTTTTTTGCTATAAAATCCTGAAAATAAAGCTTGTTAGTGGATTAAGATTGACACCAATGTCAAGAAGAAATGCTATGTAACGTGTATTAACTTATCCTTCAAATAACAACTTACTTGATTCTTTGATGAAAAAGGGGAGTTAACTAAGGAGCCTTTTCTTTAGCTGTTTCCTAGGGGAGGTGGTGGTACGTTGGTTCCAACCCAAGCACCCGATTCCGAGAACCCAGGACCCGAAAAGGTTTTTGGATTAGGTGGAATATAACTGTAGTTTGATTGAAATCCCCATTGGGTCCAAGGATAATAATAGGTGTTCCATGTCATACCATTATAGTTGAGCCACTGACCATTGTTGCAGTTTGATGGATTTTGAACTACAGGCACAGCAGCCTGACTTGCAGTAACTTTCTGTAGGGGTGGAGTAACTTTCTGTAGGGGTGGAGTAACTTTCTGTAGGGGTTGAGTAACTTGTATTGGTTTCTCTTTTGGCTTTAATGATTGCTTTCTAATCATTGTTTCCTTATCTTCCTTCATACTGAATTTCAAACGGCCGAATCGGAAGGAGATAATCCCATCTAGATCTACCAATTTCTTCTGTGATTCATTGTCAACTGAAATGACAAGATGCAAAAGTTCTCCATAGGTTAGCCTTTTTAAAACCCTCCATTCCGTGGTGGACACCGGATTTTGGGCCTCTATAATATCGAGGACCTTTTGGTTGCCGGTTGATAGGCTGTCTGGAAAGTAGCCACGGATCACATTTTTCCTCGGAAGTTCCTCCTCTGTCATTAGCTTGAGTTTAAACTCTACCTTTGCTTGGATGTGACAGAAATTGCGCTTGAGCCACTGTGAGGTGGAAAAGTTGGCGCAGATTACCATAAGCCAACCTTTTCGAGCCACACATTTTTCGAACTGGGGCATCTCGCCACCCGCATGCTCCACGGTGACATCAATTATGGCTTCCTGAATCCTGGACAATTGCTCGCTTGTAAGCATAGTCCCATCAGACTCCGAAGCAAAACCGAGTCTTACAAATCTAACTACACTAGAGAAGGGCCCATTGGTCGGGTTTACTATATCCCTAAATTTATAGGGAGCTCGTAGAAGTCCATTTTCATTAGGAATAGCTTGAACTATTTTTATAGCCTTCTCTCTGGTTATTCCTTCTCGAAGAGCCTTTCTCAGTAATTTCTTTTGCTTGGTTTTCAGCCTGACAAAGCCAGGGCCCGAATCCACCACAGGATTTTGGATTGGCGATGCTTTAGGAGCAGCATCTGACTCTGAAAATATATAACTATTCATTTGATTCCCACGAGTGCACGGGAAAGGAGGTCGCCCACGCCAGAGCCCGAGGTGCCGCAGGAAGTCTGGATTGAAACTGCGGGTCGACAGGTGCGCAGAGTTCGCCTACTCAAAACCGAGCTACCCCTCGGCCACGCATCCTTCGACGCAGGCTGTTCCGTCTTGGATTGGGGTGATCTTCAAGAGTTGTCTTCTCTTCGCCCGACTACCATTAGCCAGCATCCCTCGGCAGAGACATGACCGTGCCGAAGGATCTGTTTCCAGCCGCCCTCACGAGGAGAGTGTAGTCGCACTTCCGGGTGTACAGACAGTTACGGCACGTCCACTTAGGAACTAGGTTCTAGGTGGTACGCGTTGATCCCCCTGTCCACCACCCAGCTGACGGCCTTGGGTAAAACTAAATTATCTTTTGGCCTAACAAGATTTTACTTAGCCAAACGATTAATCTTTGCAACTATTGTTTGTACTGACTAAACTTTTAGATATCTCCACAATTATACAATTTGTTGTGTTTTTCTATAAAAACAAGGAAGTTTTAAACTGCCATAAGGCAGTGTCTTTTATAAATCTATTGGATATTATTTGGAAGAGATTTCTTGAGCCCCCAAAAAAGGTCTTGCAACAAGTTATTGTGGCACAACAGAAATGGGTAAAATCCTAATGGTATAGTGGATTTAAAAATCTAGATTGAGTAAATAAATAAAAGTTAAAAAATCGTGTAATAACGTTTAAACGACTACTATATACGAGGATTATATACATATATGGCTTTAAGCTATACTCAGATTTAACATTTCTTTAGTCATCAAACAATCTAATAAAGGCTTGGTAATAAATTGCGTTTATGAATTAAAACATTTGTTAAAACAAAAATAGTTTTGGAAAACAATTTATTTAAATTAAGAATAAAGTAAGCCTACTCTTAAACAAAAAACATTTCTTCGTTCAGCTAAGGGTAGAACCCCTTAACCAATAGAACAAGAAGTCCTACTAAATAAATTGTCAAAGGATGTTAACATGGTCCTGGCAGTGTTTATATCCTTTTGAGTTTAACGGAAATATAAACCTTGTTTTGATGTGGAAGAGACCCTTGTGTGGTTTAGTTGTCCTGCGACTCACTTAGCGGCGCTTCATCTCCTCGATTTGTTTCAGGAGCAACTGCATCCGATCCTTCATTAAAGGTTGACCTTTCTGGGTTTTCTTGCTTATGGCCTTGGTTTTTTCCAAACGCTTTTGTTTATAGGCTTTTACCTGGGCATCCCGTTCCGCCCGAACTTTCTCCCTTTCCGCCGCCTCCTGTGAGGCTTTCTCCTGGCGTTTCATGTTCCGGATCTCGGGTTTATTGGGTTTATCCTGAAAATATTGGAAAAACATGTATGTATACATACTCAATAAATGAACTGCATTTTTTCACTTACTGTCTTTGCCTTTTGTTTGTTTTTGTTTTTAAAATAAGGCTTTTGGTTGTGGGCCACCTTGCCAGGACCTTTGTAATGTTTTCCATTGGGTTTTCCTTGAGTTTTCTGCGATCGTGGTTTCATTTCTGTGTTTTTAATTTTTTTAGGCAGCACACTGATCTAGAGGTGGGGAAACATCGATGTTTCAAAGTTTTCAAAAACATCGGTAATATCGATACCTGAAGAGTAAGTCCTAACTACCTGTGGAGTAAGTCCAGCTAACTATCGACGAGGTGACTCTGCTGGCGGTTGGTATCTCCGATAAGACTAACAAACTTTGATGTTTTTCCATCCCTAACGGGTATAGAAACGACTGCTTATTGAAAACTGTGTTCAGGGGTACACTGCTTACTAGAAAAAGTATCAAAATGGAAACTGCTTGGTAGGAAAAGCAGCGCACTGCTTTTAATATTTTGCAAAATGGCGGTTGTTTTTATTGTAAAATTGGCGCTAAAACTGAAAGCAAAACGACAGTTAATTATCATTTTTGAAGATTTACTCACGTTCTTGTAATATTGGTTATTTATTGTAAAATTGGCACTAAAAGTGAAAGCAAAAAGTCAGTTAATGAACATTTTTTGCCCTCTGTAGAGTGACCATCTAATAGTACTTATTGTTATCAAAAGTATAAATATATCGATATATCGATGGCCAACACATGTTATATTCAAGAATTTATCAACACTGCAAACAGACTGTTGTTTTTTGGGATAAAAATAAAAAATGCTGAAATTAGGAAAATTTATAGCTCAAAATGGTGAGTTAAAATGTTAGGAAATTCGTAAAAATCCTACTTAATATTTGTTCAATAGCTACTGTGGCTAATCTAGTGGGCAGACAGCAATTGGTAGCCACCAGTCGCCTATATTCGGCTTCCGCGGCATCTTCCGACTCGGATTTTCCCATTGACATAACGAATCCTTATGAAAAGGACCCTCAGCAGTGCATCCTGTGCAAACACAGCATCGAGCCGCACTACAAGAACGTGAAGCTCCTTTCCCAATTCCAATCGCCGTATACGGGTCGCATTTACGGGCGGCACATCACCGGGTTATGCAAGCGGCGGCAGGAGCAAGTGGAGCAGGCCATCCTGCGGGCCCAGCAGTGCTTGTTGATGCCAGGATATCACAAGGACCTCGACTTCCTGCAGGACCCCAAGCTCTTCGATCCCGAGAGGCCCATCCGCCCACACAAGTACTAGTTTGTTTTTAAGTTTCCTCTTTGTTGCAATGGAAATACAGTTTCTTAATGTTAAATCTTATGAAAAGCTATGTTTATGTAGGGCTAATCCTCCTCCAGGTAGCGCAGCATCTGGAGTGGTATGCCCAGCTGGGTGAGTAAATCCCTTTTCGAGAGTCCTGGCTCCGCCATCGTTAGTAGATCGTCCACAGAAGCTCTAAACGCTTGGCGCCAGATTTCGATATCACCTTTTAACTCTGTTATTTGACTGCTTTTTGGACTGTCTTCCAGCTGTTTGTTCTTGGGATTCTGCGTCTTTTTAAGGTCCTCATCATGCTCCTCTTGAGAATCCTTTCTTTTATCCGACTTCATATTTTCTCTTTTTGATGACTTTTTCAAATTTGCCTGTTCCTCATCCTTGACTTCCTGCGCCACAGCAAATTCCAACTTTTTCTTTGTCAATTCTGATCTGTTCTTTGACAATCCTACCCTTCGGGCGTTCAGGGATAGAGATAAAGTTTTCGGGGTCTCTAGGTTTCCAGTTTTAGGTGTATTTACAGAAGATTCCTCTTTTTGGTGTCTCATCAAGGGCGTAGATTGACAACCACGCCTGCCCAATCCCAGTCGCGGTCTTCGGCCGGACTGAGGCGTGATATTTGCATCCCCAGACATCAAAATTCCATAAATAAGACGCAATTCAAATTTTTAAAATGTTTACGAAAAACCCGGAATGGAAACAGCTGTTTTTAAACTAGCTATATAGTTATCGATAACCTAGAAATAATCAATCTCCATTCCTGAAATATGCCAACAGGAGGCGCCACCAAATAATACATGTAAAATATAGATAAATCCAAATCAAGGATTATGTATAAATTTATAGAATAAAAATCTAATTTATTTAAAAAAAAAAAATAAATTAAATTAAGTTGGTCCGAAAAACTAACACTTTGCAAACTGTTTTGTGAAGCTGCCGGATTTCAGAAAACAAAATTTAAGTCATTTGAAATATTTTTTATTGAGAGGTAATAAAATAAATCGTACACAATAATATTATATAAAAATAATAAACTCAGCATTTTGTGCTGCAAGCTAAGAGATACAAATAAATACTGTCATTTAATATTCATACAATAAAAACAGAATAAATAAGCATCTCTAAAAGCTTGACAAAATGTTAATAGTTTTATATTTTTTGTACCATTTGAACTAAGCAAAAATTTTAATGTTTAAGTTGTAAGTTTTTATTGTACTTTATTCTAGGTATAATTGGTATGAATATATAAACTCGCGCTGAACGATCGTCTTTTGGGGACTGTATATAAAGTGTCTACAAAAACTATCCGCGCACTCTCTATATGCTAATCGGTAATCCGCAATCTGCTCTATGACTAAACGTGACCTGATACTGATACATACTGCCGAATCGGGAAAGACTCTCGCGTGTATACATTTGGCTTCTCTGCGACCAGACCGACTCTGATATGACTATAAACTAACGTAGACGAGGCCTAGGGGCTAAAGCGATTGACTGGCTTAAAACTGAACAAAAGAGGGGGAAACCTAACTTATTGCAACGATCGACTTGGGATTGTCGATCGGGAAAAATACGGGGAAGCTCTTAAGGATCCAGCTTGTGATACCGCTCCACGTCGGCGCCACGGAAGAAGACCTTGCAAACGCATTGCTGATCACGAGAAAGGAGCACCAGGCACTCCCGGCAGACCAAATGGCGGCAGGTGCGGATCTCGTAGCCGAACTGGGCGCTCCGGCAGTTTATGCAGCTGGCAGGAGCACTAGCAGCTGATCCCGATCCCGCACTGGAGTTCGATGCCAGCTGGCTGAAGCGCGTGACCTTCTGCAGCGCCTGCTGGATGGCCTGATCGATGGAGGTGGCCGAGGTCACGGTGGCACAGGCGCTGCCATGATGGCTGTGCCTGGCCCTCTTCGCCGCCGGCGGCGAATGTGGGGATCCACCAAAGGATGCCGCTGATGAGGAGGATGTGGCCGTGGCGGTGGCCCTGCTCTTCCGTTGCTGCTGTTTGTAGGCGTTGCTAAGTGCTGAATAGGTTCCAGCAGCCGGACTAATCTGTCCTGGCTGGCAGGTGCTACTGGCGAACTGCGAGGCATGGCGGCGACGCAGGCGGGATGTGCCCAGCGAACGCGGCACCGCCTTAAAGTGCTCCGAGTGCTCCATGAGGAACTTCTCGATGCGCGCTTTTAAGGCTAGGTTGAGGATTGCCTTGCGCTGCACATTGTACTCCAGGCCTGTGAAGGGATCCGAGGGCTGGCGACCCCACTTGGCCTCTTCCTCGGCGTGCTTGTCGATGGTGGATTGGTCTACTACTTTCCCAGAGGGCAGCACGGTGGGAAAGATCTAGAAAGGGGGTGGAGAATCATTAGAGGATTGATAAACCTAGTCTCTTCGAGGGAAAATCCTTCATTAATTTAAAACAAAATATTATTATAAATTCTGTGTCACACCTCTGTGTTAATCGCCTTGTTTAATTTTGCAACATAAACATCGTTTAACTTTTATATCATATCTTCAATGAATCATGTTACTTGGTTGAATGACTGAAAACTTCATAATTTCCCTAGTAAGTCATTGATAATGATAAGATTTCGACATATTGGACAATGATTCAGAATTATTATGAAGAAATGTATTAGCTAAAGCCACACTGCACTGTGACTTCAACCTAATTAAAGAGCATTCAGCAATCAGCATTCTATCACTTTCACTGACCTATTCCGAAAACATTTTATGGCCTAGGAAACAAAGGAAATGTTTTCATTTTAATTGAACATGATTTATGCGAAATTTAATTGACCTTCCTATGCAGTTCTTGCGGAAGTGGAATTGACAAAATGGCTGACGCTGATTCATGGTTATGTATTCAGTCGCGTAAGACTGTATTGCAGGCCTTTAACAGATGAAATCTATTACTCAAGAAATGAGGAAGACCTTTCGACTCTCCTGCAAGGATGTGCTAGACATAAAGAACTCAATTACCATTAGCTCCCAGGTGATGGAGTCGAGGAACTCCTCGGGAATGGAGAGAGTGGACTGCTCCCTGAGCTCTGGAACATGTCGTGGTGGTGACCTCTGACCCGTGGGCGTCTGGGCGGCATCCCTCTGCCCGTAAGGATCGCTTATCTCGCTCCAGATGCTCTTGACCAGCTCTCGATCCGCTTTGTCCAATGAGCGGGCAGGTAATCCCCACATTTGCACCTTGCGTAGAACCGGAGGACACCGCTCCGTGGCCCGGATCACTACTTTCACGCTATTTGTGCTGGCCAGGATCTTGTGGGCGGACTTGAAGAAGAACACCTTCTCGCTCTGCTCGGAGTTGGAGCTGCTCCTCGAGTTGTAGTCGCTCTGGTAGCAGAAGGTCACCGAATCAACTCCACGCCCCAAGTCCCGGACAAAGGCCACTCGCTCCCAGATACCATCATGTCGTCCATGGACCTCAAAGGCAGTGGATCTTAGGGCTCCACAAGAGGGCCACAGTTTGATGACCTTCATGTCCACAGCCTTGGGAAAGTCGAAGACGATTTCTATGGGTGGTTTGCACACGGCAAAGCACATGAATCCGCGTTCCAGCTGCTCGATATCATCCGCTATGAGATTGGCTGGAGTGTATCCATCCTCGCAGACCGCATCGCTCTCCACGGAGGGTTTCAGCTTCGGGTTGAGGAAGTTGATCAGGCTGCTCATCCTGGCTGGCTGTTTTCCAAGGGGTATTACAAGTTTATCTCGTATATCTTTTGTGTGTGCCCCACCTGCTCGTTATTCGCACAGAAAATGGCGTCACTTCTCGGGAGTCTTTTGTTGTTGCCTCTGCCACTGAACTCTGCTAATCCTGCCTCGTAATCCTTCTGCTGGTCCTGCGCTGCGCTTGTTCCTCTTCTCAGCTCCCGATCCCGAACACTCACAGCCTGTCCTGGACTCCGGCTGGCATTTTATTACGCTGCGATGGTGACAATTATCGCCCTGCCTTTTGGAATATTTATAAATCACTCGTTTGGGGGGGCAGTGTGACCGTGCTCGAGGCGAGTCAGTGGGACCAGGCAGGGAGGCCGGAAGAAGCGGGTGTGTGCTGGGTACTCCAGCATGGTCACACTCCCTCTTAGAAGCGCCTTTAATATTTCAGTTCAAATTGAATATAATTAAATTTTTGGTTGCTTCATTTCGTTTCATTAAAAACACTTATTATCTCTCATCAAAAAGCTTGTAAATTGCTCATATCGCCTAGAACCTTAAACGTTTGACATTAAAAACAAAAAATTTTAATTTAAGACACAATGAACAAATTTATAATCATGAATAAGTAAAAATATTAAAGTCTTACTTAAAGTTTTAAGAAAAGTTAAAGTTTAAATTCCAAATAATTAGTCGTGAAAGTTACTTAAATGAAAAATTTTAGATTAAGAATGCCACCTTTCTAATCTTGCATACATAATAAATCAAAAGTGATATGATAAGGTAATTTTTCTTGCATTAAACACTTCTTTATTTTGCAAAATAAGTAACAAGGTTATAAAGTAGGTTAGGGCAGGGACTTAAAGAACTTTAATCGGCAGTTTAACACATAATTAGAAACCCAAGAACTGACTTTGCCAATTTGTGGTGAGTTGCTTAAATAACCTCTTTTACAATGTATCATTGAGAAATCTAAAAGCTCTTTTATTACAGATTAGGCTAATCTCCCAATCAATCTGGCCAATGGATTGGCCAGCTGGTGAAGAGATAACCTGAGGCTATAAGTGGCCTCACCGATGATGGTTATGCTCCAGTTGCTCCGCGAACCATGAAGGGAATCGGAATTCTGCTGGTAGTGGCTTTGACCTGCGGGTTTTTGGTGGTTTCCGCCGTAAACCTGCCCGGAGTGCCAATTGACTTCGATGTGGACGACAAGATCCTGTCTGCCATCGCAGATGACATATCCGAGCGTCTGGCCAAGGAGTACATTACCTTTTTGAAGACCGGAGTGGAGACCCCCGAGTTCCTGAAGCTCACCAATCAGCTGGCCAAGTCGCACAGCCCGAGGGATATATTCACCAAAAATATGCCCGATCTCGAGTCCAGGGACAGCTTCTTTGTGTGCGTGGCTTGTCGGTCGGTCATCCGGGTTTTCATCCGCACCATTCGCGAGGAGGAGGGCGAACTTCACGGGGATGATAGTTCCGTCCTGATGAAGGACTTTGCCATGGATGTGTGCCGCAGATTGAACCTCCAAACCGAGGAGGTCTGCGAGGGTCTCATCGACTCCAATCTGCCAACTGTGGAGTACATTATACGGAACTCGGAGAGTGATTCCCAGAGCTTCTGCTCCCTGTTCATGGAGCTTAGCTTCTGTAACACGGGTTCCAATGCGGACTACAACTGGACTTTGCCTGTTGATAACACTGGAGAGCCTTTGAGTGGTCCCAAGTCTGATACTCCCCGTTTTAGCGACGATGATATCAGGATCTGTCACTTCTCCGACATTCATCACGATCCCCTGTACGTTCCCGGAAGTCTGGCCACCTGTGCCGAACCCATGTGCTGTCAGAGGCACAAGGAGACGGCTGAGGGAACGAGCGATGCGGCTGGCACCTGGGGTGACTACAGGGGCTGCGATCTGCCCTGGCACGCCTTTGAATCCGCTTTGGACCACGCAGTGGCCAACTCGAAGTGCGATTATGTTTATCAGACTGGAGATGTTGTCGACCACATGGGGTGGGCCACTTCCATGGAAAAGAACACTGGAGTGTTGAGCAAGGTCAATCAGCGGTTGAATCAAGCATTCGGAGATGTACCCGTTTATTCCTGCATCGGAAATCATGAGCCCCATCCTATGAACCTGTAAGTTGTCTTTTCAGTAATATTCTCAGAACTATACGTGTACTATTAAATCCATATCTAGGATTCAGAAATCATATCACCCATTAATGTACTATGATTTAATCTTATGCGACTTTAAAGCTTTAGTCCCGAGGGCGTTCCGGATGAGATCAGCACCAAGTGGCTGTATGAGCACCTGTACAACGAATGGTCCAAGTGGCTGCCGGAGGAAACCAAGGAGACGATCCTCAAGGGAGGTTACTACACGGTGGTGCCGAAGAAGGGATTCCGCATCATCGCTCTGAACAGCAACGACTGCTCTACGGACAACTTCTGGTTGTATTACAGTGGCACTAACAAGATCCCCCAACTCCAGTGGTTCCATGACACGCTTTTGGAGGCTGAAAAAGCCGGGGAGTACGTCCATGTGTTGACCCACATCCCTTCGGGCGTTGGATCTTGCTGGTCTGTGTGGGCCCGGGAATTCAACCGCTGCATCACCCGCTTCAGCAAGACAATCAGCGGTATCTTTACAGGAGACTCGCACAAGGACGAGCTGTTCGTCCACTATTCGGAGGATGAGGGATATGCCACGGCGGTGTCGTGGACTGGGGGTGCTTTGACCACCCGCTCCAACAAGAACCCCAACTACAGGGAGTACGCCGTGAATTCGGAGACCTACACCGTGAGCAACCATTGGACCTGGATCTACAACCTGACGGCTGCCAATCTGAAGCCAGATGAGCAGCCCGAGTGGTTCCTGGAGTACGAGTTCATTAAGGAGTTCACCGAGGACACGAGTCCTGCGGGAATTGACAAGCTTCTCGACGAGTTCGCCGAGAATCCCACTTTGATGAGGAAGGTAAGTTCCGCTTTTTAAGATAATTTCTTAAGAGAGTAAATAAACGGCCACATTTGGAGTTATCTAAACTAAATTTAAACCTTTTTAAAATAGCTACCAGGTAGTTAGAGAGTAAACTTATATAATGTAGATAGCAACCTCAATTTTAACATTTAAATTGTATCTTTAGAAAGCTGGTAACAAGGTTAAATATTAAATAAGTTAAATTTCAGGCAACTGATATGAAAATAATATGTATATTACTTTGGCAATACCTGTTTCTTATGATAAGATAATAAGAAATACCAAATTGATGAAGAGTTGCGATTTTATTTTTGTTTTTTCCACTTTTAAGTACTGGCGTTTCCGTGTAACCTCAGCCGATCCCCAGGTTAATGAAGGATGCGATCGCTCCTGCTTGGCAGGATCTCTTTGCCGCGCTGCTGTGACCATCAATTCGCAGCGAGGACGTTGCGAGAAGCTGCGGGAAAAGCTGTTTGCTTCTGTAAGTTACTTCCTAGAAATCTCTTAAACCAAAACTAAATTCTAAGTCTCACCCTTCAGCTGGACAATGAGGAAAATACTACACCCAGCAACACCACTCCTGGTGGCAGTGATCCCAGCAGCACCACTCCTAGTGACGACGATGACAACGGCGGTGGAGGAGCCTCCACCTTGGGACTGCTCAGTATTAGCTCCTTGCTGGCCATAGTCCTCTCCATCCGCCTTAGTTTCTAGAGACGCTCATTTTGAACCCTTAAGTTATATAATGCTAATTCCATTCTTAAATTGACCACTCTCAAGTGGCAAATAAAATTATGCGCTTATCCCAATAATAGCTAATCTTGTATATTATTTCGGTGCGACTTTGTTTTCCTGCCGATTGCCTTATCGACTAATGGCGAAAATTAGCCAATCGAACCATTAAGCTTGCTGTTAACCGCAGAGGAAAGGCCAAGTTAATTGCTGATTTTAAACACTCGGGCAAATGGAAGCACGTGCAAAACAGTTTTCTGTTACGAAATCTCATTCCAATAATAAGTTGTTTAAAAGAAAATATTTTCGATTAAGAATGCCAGCGTCCAAATTTTGCATACTTAATAAAGCAAACGTGATATGATAAGGTCATTTTTTTCCAAGAAGTACTTCTTCGTTTAGAATTTTGTATTTTTAAAATGAATGTTTATAAAGTAGGTAAGGAGCAACTTAAAGATCTTGATTCGGCAGGTTAATAGGACATAAGTAACCCTAGCACTGACATTGCCAATGTGTGGTGAGTTGCTTAAATAGCCATTTTTACGATGTATTATTGAGAAATCTGCCCCACCGGAGGTAGATTATGGCCACTACTCGAATGGAATATAAAAGTCTAAAAGCTCCTATATTGGAGATTAGGCTAATCTCTATGGTGAATGGGTTTACCCGCTCTTGTCAATGGAAGAGATAACCTGAGGCTATAAGTGGCCCCACCGATGGTGGTTATGCTTCAGTTGCTCCGCGAACCATGAAGGGAATCGGAATTCTGCTGGTGGTGGCTTTGAGCTGCGGGTTTTTGGTGGTTTCCGCCGTAAACCTGCCCGGAGTGCCAATCGACTTCGATGTGGACGACAAGATCCTGTCCGCCATCGCGGATGACATATCCGAGCGTCTGGCCAAGGAATACATTACCTTTTTGAAGACCGGAGTGGAGACCCCCGAGTTCCTGAAGCTCACCAATCAGCTGGCCAAGTCGCACAGCCCGAGGGATATATTCACCAAAAATATGCCCGATCTCGAGCCCAGGGACAGCTTCTTTGTGTGCGTGGCTTGTCGGTCGGTCATCCGGGTTTTCATCCGCACCATTCGCGAGGAGGAGGGCGAACTTCACGGGGATGATAGTTCCGTCCTGATGAAGGACTTTGCCATGGATGTGTGCCGCAGATTGAACCTGCAAACGGAGGAGGTCTGCGAGGGTCTGATTGACTCCAATCTGCCCACCGTGGAGTACATTATGCGGAACTCGGAGAGTGACTCGCAGAGCTTCTGTTCCCTGTTCATGGAGTTTAGCTTCTGTAACACCGGTTCCAATGCGGACTACAACTGGACTTTGCCAGTGGATAATACTGGCGAGTCTTTGACTGGGCCCAAGTCTGATACTCCTCGCTTTAGCGACGATGACATCAGAATCTGCCAGTTTACCGACATTCATCACGATCCCTTGTACGTTCCCGGAAGTCTAGCTTCGTGTGCGGAACCCATGTGCTGTCAGAGGAATAAGGATACGGTTGAGGGAACGAGTGAGGCAGCTGGTTACTGGGGTGACTACAGGGACTGCGATCTGCCGTGGCACGCCTTTGAATCCGCTTTGGATCAACGCAGTGGCTAACTCGAAGTGTGATTATGTGTATCAGACTGGAGATATTGTCGACCACATGGTGTGGGCCACCTCCGTGGAGAAGAATACTGGAGTGCTGACCAAGGTTAGTCAGCGTTTGAACGAGGCATTTGGAGATGTTCCCGTCTATCCTTGCATCGGAAACCATGAGCCCCATCCCCTGAACCTGTAAGTAATCCTTCCACTAGAATCAAATCATAAAAAATATTATGTATAGTAACAAGAATGTCTATTTAAAAATTGCATGAATTGTAAATCTTAATCTTAGATAAGCTCAGAAATATAAGTGTACTATTAAATCCAAATCTTGGATTCCTTTCTCATATCACCAAATAATTTACTATGTTTTGCCCGTTCTAATCTTATTCGACATTTAAATTTTAGCTTCAGTCCCGAGGGTGTTCCGGATGAGATCAGCACCAAGTGGCTGTATGAGCACCTGTACAACGACTGGTCCAAGTGGCTGCCGGAGGAAACCAAGGAGACGATCCTCAAGGGAGGTTACTACACGGTGGTGCCGAAGAAGGGATTCCGTATCATCGCTCTTAACAGCAACGACTGCTATACGGACAACTTCTGGTTGTACCACAGTGGCACTGACAAGATCCCCCAACTCCAGTGGTTCCATGACACGCTTTTGGAGGCTGAAAAAGCCGGGGAGTACGTCCATGTGTTGACCCACATCCCTTCGGGCGATGGAACCTGCTGGTCCGTTTGGGCCCGAGAATTCAACCGCTGCATCACCCGGTTCAGCAAGACAATCAGTGGAATCTTCACAGGACATTCGCACAAGGACGAACTGTTCGTCTACTATTCCGAAGATGAGGGACATGCCACGGCGGTGGCCTGGAACGGAGGTGCTGTCACCACCTATTCCAACAAAAACCCCAACTACAGGGAGTACGCCGTGAATTCCGAGACCTACACCGTGAGCAACCATTGGACCTGGATCTACAACCTGACGGCTGCCAATCTGAAGCCAGATGAGCAGCCCGAGTGGTTCCTGGAGTACGAGTTCATCAAGGAGTTCACCGAGGACACGAGTCCTGCGGGTATTGACAAGCTCCTCGACGAGTTTGCCGAGAATCCCGCACTACTGAGGAAGGTGAGATCAACTTTTTACAAAATTATTCATTTTTAAAATAGCTACCAGCTATTAAACTTATAAAATCTTAAAAAGCTGAAAATATCAACTTTAGTCTTAACACTCAAAAAAGCTGTTAATGAGATAGATAGATAAGATAGTTAAATTTCAGCCAACTGATGTGTTTTAAATTTGACAATACTATGATTAGATAATAAGAAATATAAAATTGGGGCTTATTTTTTTGCACCATTTAATATACATTTTGTTTTCAGTACTGGCGTTTCCGTGTGACCTCAGCCGATCCCCAGGTTAATGAAGGATGCGATCGCACCTGCTTGGCAGGATCTCTTTGCCGCGCTGCTGTGACCATCAATTCCCAGCGAGGACGTTGCGAGGAGCTGCGGGAAAAGCTGTTTGCCTCTGTGAGTTACTTCCTGGAAATCCCTTAGACTTAAAAATAATTTTAAAATTTCCCCCTTCAGTTGGACAATGAGGAAAATACTACACCCAGCAACACCACTCCTGGTGGCAGTGATCCCAGCAGCACCACTCCTAGTGACGACGATGACAACGGCGGCGGAGGAGCCTCCACCTTGGGTCTGCTCAGCATTAGCTCCTTGCTGGCCATAGTCCTCTCCATCCGCCTTAGTTTCTAAAGACGCTCATTTCATATCCCCTAAGTTATATAATGCTAATTCCATTCTGAAAGTGACCACTCTCAAGTGGCAAATAGAAGTATGCGCTTATCCCAATCAAAGCTAATCTTGCAGTCTTGTTTTTTATTTCGGTGGGACTTTGTTTTCCTGGCAGTTGGCTTATCGACTAATGGCGATTAGGGCAAATTAGCCAATCGAATCGTGATGGCCATAAAACAAGCAGTCGGCTACAGGTGTATGGCCAAGTTAATTGCTGATAAATGTAAGCACGTGCAAAAGAGTTTTATTTCGGGAAAGATTTACGACTGAATCGTGTTCCAAAGTAAAGGATCATGCCATAGTCTGACTCACTTATATCGAAACTAAAAAAAATATGCCTGGTAAAGTCAATAATAATATCGTATTATTGTAATAGCTCTTAGAAAAATAATTTTGGTTTAGATTTCTGTCTTAAATTATACCACTTATATAGCTTGTAAAAAACTGTCCCCGAACTGTAATTAGTGTGGGCTGATGACCGCTGGTTTTGGCGATATCTACGCACCTGATAAGCGGCTAAGCTGATAGTGGTTATATATTACCCTATAAATAGGGGCTCAATCCCAATCCTGGGCACAGTTTCGCCATGAAGTTGATCTGCAGCACAGTTCTGTTGGGGATCGCTATCGCCATTGTCGGGTGCGGGGCCTTCAGCTTGACCATTGTCCCCGACAATCTGACAAAAGAACAGCGCTCCGCAGCCATCGTCTCAGGTAAGTGCAGGTGCTCAAAGATATTTTTTGGATTAATCAATGAATTTTGTCCACAAAAAGTCTTTGTTTTTGTTCATTAGAATAGAATCTGTGCTATAACTTATAATGAAAAAGCCTAAGTGCCAGAGTAACTAATACAAAAGCCACCCTCTTTATTATTAATTCAAATCCATATCAATATGCGAATGATTTGGATTCGGTAGTCAGATAGTAACTAAGTCCAAACTGTTTGGAGTTGTCCCAAAGATAACTTCCAAATGACAGCTTCGAGTGCAGATATTGACATCCGTTTTTGCCATTTTGCAGCTAGTTTGGCGGAGGAGATAAGCCGTGAGTATGTGAAGTATCGACGTACTGGGATCGAATCGGAGAGGCTTCGGCAGCTGGGAAAGGATCTGCGGAACAGTCACAGCAAGAAGGCCATTTTCACAGAATCCATGGCTGATTTGTCCTCCACTGATCAGTTTTTCGTGTGCACCTTGTGCAGATCAACCGTAAATGTGTTTGTAAGAACTGGCAATTCAGGAGAACTGAGTGATCCTCAGAGGGAAGAAGAGGCCAAGATGTGGTTTTTGGGCTTCTGTGATTACTTCGGTATTAGCACCCAAGAAGTGTGCTCTGGATTATTTGACCTCAACTACCAATTTCTTCACTTTATTCTTAACCACACTGCGGCTAATTCACAATCCTTCTGTGGAATGCTACCCATTCCCATTTGCCAGGTGAAGCAGGATGAGTTCAATCTCACTTTGAGCATCCAGGGGGATTCGACCACTGAATCTAATTCGAATTTGCCCGCTAAGAGCTCTGATGATATCCTAATCCTGCAACTCAGCGATATCCATTATGATCCAGAATATTCCGTTGGTAGCAACGCTGTTTGCGATGAGCCCATGTGTTGTCGGAATCCTTTGCCTGAAGGAGCTGATTCCTCGGCAGCAGCTGGTTACTGGTCTGATTACCGTGACTGCGATTCACCCAAACATCTCATCTTGAGTGCCTTTGACCACATCAAAGAAAACCACAAGATCGAGTGGATATATCACACCGGAGATGTGCCGCCCCATAATGTCTGGTCTACGACCAAACAGGGAAATATGGACATGCTGACCGAAATCGATGGACTTCTGGGCGAGTACTTCCCGAACACGCCCATCTACCCTTGCCTTGGAAATCACGAACCCCATCCAACAAATGTGTGAGTATCCGTAATTTGCAGACCCTCAAATGATATTAAGTTAATGACTCAGTTGGGGAAAGTTCAAAGCAACGTGCCCGAAATTGGTTTGAATTAGGGCAAAAAGTAGTTCTTGGGTAATTCTTAGTTATTCATGATTAGTTTTGACCTAAATAGGAAGTTGTTTCTCATATTATTCCTGATATTATTTAACAATAAATATGGTTTTTTGACTTCTGGATTTCCCACCAAGACAGTATACATTTTATTGTAAAGTTTATCTTAAGTGCTGTTCACAGCAAAACAATAAAGTTGGACACGGTTTCCTATAGTTAATATTTACTGCTGATAATTAGACCCATTTCAAGTAAAGGTGGTATCTAAAAATACGGTTAAACGAAAACGATTTGAGGACTTCTGTATTTTCCGCCAAGATAACGTTTAATAGCTCTAAAACGGCAAAACCAATAAAGTTAACACATTGGTCCACAATAGTAAGCAGCAATGCCAATAACATAAACTAATCTACTACGTTTGAATGTGATTGGCTTTTAGAAGATTCTGGGCACTACATTTTATAAATCTTAAAAACATATTTGTTATTATTCTCTAAGTGCATTTTTAAGTTTTTGATTTCTTGTAAAAAGATTTCCCACATTTGGACTTCTCGAATCCATAACTTTATCAAATTTAATATGATTTCAAAGCGGCATACTTCTTAAGGCTCGTAATTTGATTCTCTAAAAATCTGCATTCAAATTTTTCATTTTAACGTTGATCATATTTTTGACCCATTTTCATGTCATTTATTTCCAAGTTTCCGATGTGTTGTTAAAAGGTGGCCTACAAATGGACATCCAAAGTCCATAACTTTATCAAATTTTATCCGATTCCAAAGTGGCATATCTCTTAAGGCTCGTAATTTGATTCTCTAAAAATCTGCATTCAAATTTTTCATTTTAACGATGATCATATTTTTGACCCATTTTCATGTCATTTATTTCCAAGTTTCCGATGTGTTGTCAAAAGGTGGCCTACAACTGGACTTCCAAAGTCCATAACTTTATCAAATTTTATCCGATTCCAAAGTGGCATATCTCTTAAGGCTCGTAATTTGATTCTCTAAAAATCTGCATTCAAATTTTTCATTTTAACGTTGATCATATTTTTGACCCATTTTCATGTCCTTTATTTCCAAGTTTCCGATGTGTTGTCAAAAGGTGGCCTACAACTGGACTTCCAAAGTCCATAACTTTATCAAATTTTATCCGAATTGAAAGTGGCATATCTCTTAAGACTCGTAATTTGATTCTCTAAAAATATGCATTCAAATTATTCATTTTAACGTTGATCAATTGTTTAACCCATTTTCATGTTTGTTATTGCCAAGTTTAAAAAAACCAAATATTTAATATTATTTGTTAATATGTATTCCATCTTATAGTTTCGGAAATGATGAGGTTCCCGCAGCTCTAAAGGTTGACTGGCTATATGAACACGTGTGGAGTTTGTGGTCAAAGTGGTTGCCCGCGGATGCGAAGGACACCGTCCTTCGGGGTGGTTATTACACTTTGTCGCCGAGCAAAGGACATCGGATTGTGGCTTTGAACAGCATGGACTGCTACCTGTACAACTGGTGGTTGTTCTACAACGCCACTTTGATTCAGGAGCAGTTGCAGTGGTTCCACGATACTCTATTATCTGCGGAGCAGGCGGGTGAATCAGTCCACGTTCTGTCGCACATTCCTGCTGGTGATGGCGATTGCTGGAGCAGTTGGGCCAAGGAATACAATAGGGTTCTGACTCGATTCAATGGCATCATAACTGGAGTATTCAGTGGCCACACCCATAAGGACGAGATGAACCTCCATTATTCCGAGGAGGGTCATGCCACGGTGGTCAACTGGAATGGTGGTAGCTTGACCACCTATTCGAATAAGAATCCCAACTACCGGCTGTATGAACTCAATCCTGATAGCTGGCAGGTGCTGGAGCACTATACCTACAAATTCAATCTGACGGAGGCAAATCTGAAGCCCGATGAGCAGCCCCAATGGGATTTGGAGTACCAGTTTACCAAGGAATTCACGGAGGATACTAGTCCCGCGGGCATCGATCGTTTGTTAGTTGAAATGGCAGAGAAACCGGATCTGCTTAGGAAATTCTGGAGGATTAAATTCACCAACTCAGATCCCAAGTTGGCGGAGGGCTGTGATAATAGTTGTCTAAGTAAGACAATTTGCAGGATTGCCACTAGTAATTACCAGGAACGAACTCGCTGCAAGGAACTGCAGGCCATCCTGGCGGAGAGTGTTAGTATCCAAAGACATTCCCTACTAAACTTAACTTTAATGTATGATTTTGAATCCTTTTAGTTGGAAAATGAACCAGAAACTGATCCGGATGACAATGGTGGTGGAAGTGCTTCCGGATTGACTGCCCTCAGTTTGGCATCTTTGCTGGCACTAATGACTGCATCGAAAGTCATTGGATAAGCCTTATCATTGCCCCCAGTCTATTCTTAAACCATATTATCAAAAGCGATAATCGCCGCCATAAAACAGGCTATAAAACTACTATAGAAATACCCGAAACCCCTGGAGAGAAATAAAAACGAACAATAAACACATACGATTCTTGTAGTCAACACTCAGAATGTTTGATATACATGTATATATATAGTACCTAAGATGCCTCTTGGGTAGCGAATACTTTGCGAATTAGCTGGATTAAGTTAAGAGTTAAGTTTAAGCACTACGATGGAGTCCGGGGAGGTGTCGTCCGCTGCTCTGGATTCTTTTGTCTTTTTTTTACAAACATATACATTTTCGGACAGGGTCCCGCTCGCCGCTTAGAGCGCACAGATGAGCGTGGCGATGTCTATATCCTGCTCCTCGGCCTTTCGCAGGATAATGGCCGCCTGGTTCTGGAATCGGCCGGAGGACACCAGTCGCACGGTGCTCACGCCGCAGAACATCGCCTGCTCCGGACCCGGCTCACTGGAGGCTCCACACACGGCACTGGCCTGCTCCATTCCGATGGAGTCCAGACCAGCGGATCCTCCGATCTCTAGGCGATCGCTGGGCAATTGACACTAAGTGGGGGTTAGGGAAATTAGCTGGGTAACGAAGGAAACTCAGGATTATACCCACATCGTAGTTGACCTTTTGCTGGGCCCTCACACTCTTTCCACCAATCCGCAAACTGGCCAAGGAAACCACGGCCGGGAAAAGCGCCGAGATGGTGCAGTTGCGAGCCTGGCCAAAGTTGGTCATCTTGTACATAGCAGCCGTGTCCTGGACCAAAACATTGCAGGCTGAAATTATACAGAGAGTGAGCATAAAAGCTTATAATGTGTCCTCTTACCCAACGAAATATGTTAAATCAAAAAAAGATTATTAAAATGACACTTTCTAGTAATATACTCACGTTGTGTGATCTTGTGGAATCGTACATTGGCCACAAAGGAGCCGCGCACAGGAATGCGGTACTGAAGTAGGGCGGCGTTCTGACTCGAGCGGAAGAACTTCTTATTACTGACACGGGGCCTTAAGATTTAAAGGATTATCCCTGTATCAGCTCTATACAATATAGTTAACATTTAATCTGTACCCACCATTGTCTGTAGTTGTTGCAGAACTCGTAAACACGCTCCTCCAGCGGTCGATGGTGATCTTTTATGCCCGGAAAGTACTCCCCATTCAGCTCCCAGCCATCAACAAACTATCCAGGAAAATGGGTCACACATGGGCATAATTTAGTGACACTTTGGAGCACTTACCGCCATTAGGGCTCCTGTCTCGCAGTTCGCATCGTAGTGTTTCATTGTAATCTCCACAATCGTGTCTGGCTCCCCAATCACATAAAGCCCACAGACTTCGGGCTGCAGCTCCTGGACATCTGGCCCGATACCCGTTCCTGCTCCTCCTCCCGGAACAACTCCGACTCCAGTTCCCACACCCACTCCCACTCCCAATCCTCCTCCTGCTCCTGCACCTGCAGCAGCAGCTGCTGCCGCCTCCAGTTCGAGTAGAGCTGCCTCCCGATTGAGGGCTGAGTTCAGGGGGTTGAGCTTCTTGAAGATGTAGTCACCTGCCTCGGAGGCCACATGCATGCAATCTGCGGGAAAGGGGTGAAAGTACGGGGTGGGATTTAATGGCATTGCACAATGAAAAAAGGTTTCATGAAAAACTCTTCGGACAAAAAGTTTCATGTATACAATTCGGGAAACCAATTATATCTGCTTTGTATAGAGTTCAGGGAGTCCAAAAATTTCATAAGAATAATTTATGTTCGCAAAAGTATGTATGAATTTATTTATGTATGAATATGCGAAAAATGGATTACCGACTAAAAACTTTTTTCAATCTACAAGACAATTGTAATCAGGCTATCCTAAAATGTTTTATTAATAGATTGCTTTACCTATAGTTAATAATTTTAAAAGATATATAAAAAGTTTAAGTTTAACCACTTAAGAAATTGTATTAATAATGATTTTGTATGAAGCAAATAACTTTTTTTTTGTATTATAAATTTTTTTCCATTATTTAAAAACTATTTTTCTTTGAGTACCAAATGCATTTGATACCCTAAAGCACTACCAGACGCCCAAAACCGAATCCGAAACCAATTTGTCTTCCCAAGTTGCCACGCGTTGCAGGCGAAGTCGAGAGATTAGGGGAAGGCAATTGAAAGCCCCTTTGATTGTTTCTAACTTGGCTCCTGGCAACAATTAATTTATCATGCGTATCCACTTAATGCCGACCATCGTTGGCTGATTTATGGCCAGCATTATTAGCCGGCCACCCACGATATGTACGATATGTGGGCTGCTTTTTATGACTCCTCGCCTTGTGGCATCTCCCAAACCAGGCCGAAAAACAATTAAACTACTATTTGGCTTATTTTTTGTCCCATTCTTGTCATGCATGTCACATACTCGGAATAAACTCCTGTGGGCTTCGGACTGTACGTGAATCCCTTGTTGGGGGAATGAGATCTAAGAAGGATGGGTGAATGGAGGACCAACTCCTGTCACTTGGCGCCAATTTGTTTATGGCACTCGCTAATTGCTTTTAAGTGATGGCTTTTTCGGCATTTTTACATTTCTAATTATTGCAACAGACAATTAAATTGGCCCTATTCATAATTGATTAGGCATTTTGGTTTAATAATCATAATTTGAGTGGCTAGCAGTTAAGTAATAATCATAAAATATTAAGCTATTTAATTTGTCTTCCATACTTTGGTATTGCATTTGTAGTGTATTATATTATATTTATTTGCTGTCTATATTAACTTAAAATTTTATTGATATTCTTTTAAATTAATAGAAAATTAAGTCGAATATTCCTTTTTATTAAATTCTTCACAATTTTATTTATTATTAATTATGAAGAAGTTTAAATAGGAGCAAAAACAGGGAAACAAACATTTTGAACTTAACTTAACTTAACTGTAACTATTTTTATAACTACAAAAAATCGGCACGACCTAAGCTCTTCTTTGTTTATTCTTTTGATTAGAGTGATTTTCCATTTGCCCTTCGAAATGGAATTTCCATTTCTAGGAGTGACGTCATTAAACTGACCCACCCCCTGGAAAACCGCTCTTTCCTGTTGTCCTGACTATAAATAAAAGCAATTATAAATCGGCATAGCCACAGATTTGTTGATGTTTCACCTGCTACTGATTGTAAGACTGATGCAACATTACATTTTCTCTGACCTGACATGCGGTTGCTTTGACGACTTTCTCATAGGAGAAGGAAAATGGGAATGGAAAATCGGGTGGTATGGTGACTGAGGGATTAAGTCAATTGAAGTTTGCACGAGTTGCTGGCTACCCATACAAATTTATTAAGTTTTCATTCCTCCGAATCTGAGTACTTCTGCTCTATGGCCATTGAGTTGACCACAAGTTTGTAATCTTTCATTTCCATTTGGACAGTTTGGGTCACTATTGAAGAGGTGAGGGGAACACACGGTAAGTGGAGTGCACTTTGATTTGAATTTTAATGGGCAATAAATTCGTGTTGCTTGGCTGTACAAATTGCGCATACGCCATGGGTTCTATGGAAGAGATGAGATATAACAAGAAGCGCTCACAACTTATGCAGAAATCAATTTGAGAGACAAGTAAACAAGGTTTAGAAAGCGTTTTAAACTTGTCGCTACCGCCAAAGTGCATTTTCCATTTTCTGCCCGTGGCACTTGACTGAAAAGTTTCCCCTCTACGTTGCATATACGTTGCATATGAGCAGCTTAACTTACCTGAGACCGTGTGCACATTGTGCGGCACCGCTGGGTTGGGGAAAAGCTCAAAGGACCGCTTCACACTGGGCCAGGCCTGAAAATAAATTACTAAGAAAGTGAGGCAGAGCACTCAAAGAAAAGTTGTGCGTAATTGCTTGTTTTTTTTTTCACTTAAAAAAACAAATTTTATAAATGTAAAACCAATATTTTGATTCGTTTCTAGAAGGTTTTTGTATCAAGGGGCTTATAGAAATTGTCGTGTTTTTTTTTGGTTTGAAATAATAGTCACTTTTTTCGGGACAGACTTTTTTCAATAGCATTTTTGGGTAAACATTTGTAATACAACTTTTTCCGAATGTTATTGTTTGAGAAAGGCAGATAGTCAGATCAGGGGCAGTCAGCCAACCCCTCCTGCTCCAACCCATCCACACAAAAGACAGACATTCTGAGCAGGAGCGGGGGAATCCCTAGATGGGGCATGTCCAGGCCAGCGGATCAGCGGGATGTCCTCCGTGGCTAATGCCCGCCGACTTCTGTAGTTGTATCCGAAGAAAGAAATCATCATGGGGGGCAGCTAATGCGGCACTTAGGGCTCAGCTCACAATGCAACTGCAGAGGATTGGAAAGGGGACAAGAGGTCATCCGCAACAGAGGACAATAGCAGGTTTTAATTAAACTACCACACACGATTCTTCAATAAACAAGAATCGAGCAGATGACGCTCGGGACGTGCTCAGCTGAGGAGGATATATATACACATATATATCGTGGGAGGTCAGGGAAATTTTAAGCATGACAAATCGGGGGCAAATTTAAAACTTTTTATTAAGAAAAGCAACTCAACCTTCGACCCCATTTTTGTTGTGTCCTTTTATGATTGATTAGTGGTAACTTTTTTTTCAGATTTTCCCGTTAATTGAAATCGCACCCAGCCCGCTGGGAGGTTGATAAATGGTGACGCATGGGCCGAGGGCTCAAATAATTGAGTTAAGGCCAAAAAGTTTTTGGCTTTTGGGACATTTGTTTGCGCAACACTTGAGCTTTGGCTTTAACGAGTCGTCGCCGCGTTATGGAACTGTCAATTAGTGGCGGTTTAGGCAAAAGCAACTTTAATCCGCGGCTCACAAAAAAATACCCCAAAAAACCATACCGATTGCGCCACCCTGACGTCACAAAACTTAGTCAAGAATCGAAGGATTCGAGAGAGTCTGGATAAACTGTCAACAGGCAGTAAATAAATAATAAACATGATCCCTTTGAACACACTTGGCGCTGCCTCATTTGCATAATCACAATGCTGGCATCGGGTTTTGTATTTGAGCGGGGTGAAAAGTGGGCAAAAATAACGCTGGACGCCTTTTGTCAAACTAAG